CAAAGCAAAACAAGTTGAGAGAATCCAGGACTTTCAATCTTAGTCTTATTTTTGAGAATGGTGATTTGATTTCACCATCTCATCTCATCAGAGACTGTCTATATGTCACAATGGTTGTGTTTCCTATTGCAATGTGGATGAAAGTGAATCCATATAAACCATACCAACGCCATTATATATAACTGGTGGTAAAACTTTATTATTCAAGTTTAGATGTAACAGACATCTTTGCTGCCTGAAGATTGTTTGCATAAGAAATACACCAAGAACATGTTTGTGAGTAGAAATGAACATGCACTATGAAAACAAAATTAAATAAAACAAAAGAAAATTCCATGTGTTGTAAGAACAGACTATTATAGCCAACATTCTAATATTCAAATCAGGACTACAAATTGAATTTTTTCTTAGCAACATGAAGTCATTCCATATGAAAGACATTTTTTGCTGGTGAATATTGCTGTAAGTTAATTTTACATTGGCATTTTGAGATGTTTCCCAACCCCCTCCCCCCCCCCCCCCCCAATTATCCATGTTGTCAAATAGTCCACCCTAAGGAATTTGGCATTTCTTATTGTGATATTTGCCTTGTTGGTAGCCATTAAGAAACTATGGTTTTATCAGCCTTGTAATAGTTTTGCCTCTTCATAGTCAACACTATAGGCTGCCTGGTATGATATTTACAGCTCATCTTTAAGAAACATGACCCCAACCTTTTCTGGCCCTTGGGAACTGAGAGTTTAAATAAGCCCCTTGGCCATATAATAATACTTGGCACTCTCATGGTGCCTTTCAACCAAGGATCTCAAAGTGCTTTACAAAACAAGTACTACATTACCAATATTATTATTATTAATATTATTATTATTAATATATTTTTCCCATTTTACAGGTGAGGAACCTGAGGAACAAAAAGAAAAAGTGATTTGCTGCAGGTCATATAATGAAAAACAACCAGGGGTAGAATCAGGATCCAGTTTGGGGACTTAGGGTCTTGAAGGACCATCTTCTCTGATGAAAGCTAACATTATTTCCATGTAAAGTTACTCTAGCTTTTCTCTGGTGTAGGACTGAGTGAAGCTTACAGCTCTACCTTTCCTTTCAAGAGAACGACACATTATCCAGTTTCCATGTGTGGATCAATGTTGAATTTCACATTTTTTCATCCCTGACTTCACACACTTCTGCCCTAGCATCTTTCAGAGGTCTTAATTACTACAAATAATTGTGGATGATTTCTCAACAATTGCACTGCTATCAGGAATGTGTGAATCAGCTGTCTATGGAACAGTAATGGAAAACCAAAAGGAAGTGCTCTCCAAAGAAGCTATCCCTCTGCCCTTGGCCAAGTTTGTTTTTTTTTAGAAAATAATTCAGCCCCTCAAAGTCCCAATGCAAGTCTTTCTACCTCTTTTCATTTACAGCTGCCTACTGATAGAATTCTGCCTGATAGTACGTACCTTTGGTTAGCATATTTCATTTCATATTCTGGTTGAATTTCAATTCCACCATTTTCTCCGGTGATCTAGGGACAGTCGGGAAGCTCTCACCTACTTGCTTACCAAAGATGCCTTGTAGTTTTTGCCATGATCCTCAACCCAAAGACTGTGAGCTCATGTAAACTTTAGGGAAAAGGCCGGCATACAGCACAAAAACTGACCACCAGCTTCTTTACTCCGTGTTTCCACCACTGGATGACAGATATCCCCACTCTAGAATTGCGTTAATGGTCACTAACTAAACAGGCAGGCAGTTCAGAAGTCTCAAGACAGGTCACCTTGTGATGTTTTGCAGCCACACAGCAGAAGGCTAATAATTATTTTAATAGCAGTATTGACACTCTTCAATTTATTGAGAAAAATGTATATCCTCAGGCATTTAAAAATATATATACATTTAATATTTTTGGAGCTGTATTTGCATTGGATCATAACAGATTATGTGCACATGTGCAATCATAAACATAATGTGCTACCACAGGCTTCAACAAAGAGCTGTTAATGATAATCACCTTTTTCTTCTCATTAATATTACCTTAGAAAAAGAATCCCCATGCTTGTTTTTCTAAAATCTACCTTTACTAAAAGAGAACAGTTTAGAATAAAACATCACTATCTTAAAAGTTGATTTTTTAAAAGAACATCTCAATATGTCATGTAGAAAGAATGGGCACACTCTTTTCCTTTTGAACTACAGAGTTAACATGTTAAGGTTTAGAGCTCCATCCTTTTCTTATACACTTAGAGTCCTGTAGTGTCTCTCTATCCACATCCTTCCAAGGTGGGCTGGCTCGGTGGGCTGGCTCATGATTTGTCTATCCCAAACAACAGTATGAATATACGGGTGAGAGAAGAAGAAAGAAAGAGTAAGAAAAGGGAGAATGAATGCATGAGCTGGTCCTGACCTTAAATTTGACCTGAAGCTTGATTCAAAATAGAGACAAGTAATTTCAAAAGACTTACAGTTTTTCAATGGTATACAATTTTAGCTGGCATATAGTTTTCATCATAAGGGAAGCCTTTTCCAAGAGGGGAAAATCCTAAATCATCTTGAAAGTCCTTAAAAAAAAAGGATAAGTACCTAAATAGCTCATTTAAAATCACATTTTAAGGCAAAATCATTTGGAAACCTTAAAACAAAATAAAAATAACAACAAACCATTTTTGTAATATAGTTTGTGAAATGGAACAAAGGCTTTCAGAAGTCAACAAATAAAGGGTATTTTAGTGTCACAATAAATTTTCATCTTTTTTTAAAAAAAGCCCAACCTCTTCTCCATCAAAATATGTATAATAATGAAAACAAAAATGAAAATAAAATAATCAATAATAAAAGAATATGGAAAGAGATCTATCATGTCAATGCTATCCAAGAATATTCTACTGAAAGTAGACTGACCATAAATATTCCAAGAATAGTGATATGTATTTTCCAATGCTAATCGTTACTACTATGTCTGTCTTGAGAAAACAAAAATCAGTTGAAAAAAAAAAAAAAAAAAACCAGAAGGAATACATGCCAAAAATGAACAACCTGTTTGTGTCTGACACACTGGAGAAATTGTTTATCTAGTAGCTTTGCCCAAAAAGCCATACCTGTAATATTGCCCATGTTAACCAAACTTCTGGCGTTTTACTGATTTGAGCAGTCCACATGTAATGTTGCTTAAGGATTGCCACAGTGCACTTCGTTACTAAGTCCTTTTACTAAGAAAACAAAGTATTGTTTTGTTGTTTGGGAAATCTCCTCTCTTTCTGAGATCTTTCATGGCCACCTCTCAAGTCTGCCTGTACATTTTGAGATGCGTTCATCGAAATTCCTAAGAAAGATAAATTCTCATCACATAATTTGAATGTTAGAGCTCCTCCCTCCACCTCCTCGGTTCAGTTTATGTGGATATCAGAGCTGGACAGGTGAGACCAGAATAGGGCCCTTTAAAAATGAAACTGAAGCTGAAGGCTTAGTCCTGATTTCTTTTTTCTCTGTCTCTTTCTCTCCTTTTTTTTTTTTTTTACATGAAAACAAACAGAAAAAAATGCAAGAATGGAAATGACAACACACCAAAAAGACATTTTAACTTCATTCACTACGACAGCCACAAACTGGTTGAACTCGACCTGTCATCCAACTTTAAGAAACAAAGACCTGGCGCTGGGAAAAAGAAACAAAACCCAAACAAAACAAAAACAATAACATAGCGACTGGGAATTGTGTAAAAATGAGTGCAAATGCGGCTACAGAACGCAATAAAAACATCAGTCCTGCGGTTTCCAGCAGCACTTATCAAAATAATTTCTGAAATGTTTCATCTGAAACATAGACAAAGCAATAAAAAGAGGATATATGTTTATCATGTTAAGCATAACAATGTGAGTTAAGAGCTTAAAAATTAAAAAAAAAAAAAAGAAAAGTACTTGGAATGAATAGTGCTACCCTTTTTTTCCTAAGTAGGCATAAAAATATTTTCATTTCCTTCTTGTTTTCCATACCATTATATCAAGAACTTTCATTTGTTTCATGTTACCGTTTACAACTTTAATGCGCGCACACACACACACACACACACACACACACACAAAAGATATCTACCGCAATAGAAATAGTTGCTTCATTTCCTTGTTTGCTACATTTGCAAATGTAAACAGCTAGGCAGAGCCAGAACTGACTCTAATGCATGATGGAATATCTTTGTTGCATACGTACACTGTAGAAAATAATTATTCAATATGTCAGGCACCATTATTTGAAATGTAATACATTAATATTTACTAGAAAAATAAGTTTTTTTTTCCTATTTGTTCTCCCAACTTCTTTAATGAAATAAGTTAATCTGACAGTGCATCCAGTAGCTTGTAATATCTTCTACATCTCCGTGGCAAAAAATAAACTACTGGTTGGGACAATATAATGCAAATTATTAAAGTCAGTCCTTGTACATACATCCTTGTAGCAAGCATTGAGGCTCGACTAACAGCACCTTTAACCAATTATTTAATGTTTAGTTATTTAGCCCTATTTCCCTGAGCAGTTATGCTGAGGAGTTTTCCCTTCATGGATAGTTTTACAAAGCCTGAAGTATTAAAAGTACTATGAAGATATACTTCTAAGAATCCTATTTAATGCTACTTAACTAAACCTGTATAAATCTAATGAAGGGAGTAACTGGTACATATACCAACTGTCAGTCTGTGGTAACGTAACCTTAGACGCTGCCCGGCCACAAAGTTTGAAAATTATATTTAACCGAAAGAAAATAAATAAAATACAGCAGGTTACCTTATGCAGAAATACCATGTATTCTAAACAAATTAAGCCCATGGTCGGAACTTTTATATCCATCTAATCTTTTGAACTGAGGGGGATCCCTTTAGTTATGATGTGCCAAGTGAGATTGGTGACCAAGAGGAGGCTTAGAAAAACAAATCCAAACTGCTTCACCACATACAAGATAGAAATATCTGACTAAAGAAAAAAAATTACTACGTAAGCACTGAGGACACTGTTTTTTAAAAGGCATATATATTTGGAGAAAATAAACCTAAATTGCAAACAAAAGGACTATTTTTGAAAGGAGTATTTGAACATCTAAAGGACAAAAATATCAGAAGAGGGTGTGCATGTGTATGTACAGGCAGGGCTGGCCAAAATCACGGTGCCACCGTCTGTCACTTTCCTCGCTGCTCTCTCACCAAGCCTAACCACAGCTCACATTTCTAGGTCTAAGTCCAAAACATGGTCAATGAGAGGAGACTGATGTAAGAGACGCCATTTTCCTTTCACTGCCCTGGAGATTAGATTTCTCCTCATCTGCCTAGGAATTCATGATGCTTCTAAATTTAGGCAACAACTTATGGGCTTATGAACAAATGGACCAATGGCCAGCCCAATACTGCATTAGTTCATAATATGTAAACCCTTTCCAAATGTGAGATAGCTTTGATCTCTTTCTTTACAAACATAATAAGAGTCTGGTGATACTTCTTATGGACCGTTTCCACAGTACCCATTTGCCAAGATGGTTTTGACTTGCTAGCTTCCAAAACATGACTATTTACCATCTTCCTTTTTTTTTTTTTTTTTTTTTGTTTCTCACTGACCATTTGTCTCACTTTTTAACCTTGGTAACCTACTCATCAAAAGAAAGAATAAAAGAAGGGAATTTCATGTTGGATAAGGCAGGCTCTATGAAGTATTTTTTTAATAGGTCTTCATAAGACATTACAAGCTATTGAATTCCCATCAAGAAAACCTATTTCTATTTAATTGTGCTAAGTGCTAAGGTTTTACTCTTTAGGTTTTCCATTTTTTTCCGCTTGTGCATTGTTCCTATGCAGGCCCCTCTGGATATGCGTTGTGAAGTCATATTTGTCCGTGCAAAGATGCTGGCATATGCTGCACTGGAAAGGTCCACTGTCACCATGGCAACTCATATGCAAAGCATACATCACTTCATCCAGAAAGACAATGCCACAGTGCGCACATTTTGTTGAAAGTTCATCTTGAGTACTTCTATCAACTTTCTCTGTTTTTACTACATTCAAGGGACCTTCACTTTTTACATTTGATGGTGCCTTTGTTTTCTCCTTGGAGGCACCATTTGCAGTTGGCCCAGGTCTGGAATGCTTGATCGCCAAATCGAGAGGAATGTCATTGTCTGATCCAACAGCTGAGAAATGAGGAGGCAGATTGAAGGTGGGATAAGGCACATAGTTTTGGCAAGGATTTGGTAGGCCAGGCACATGACTCAAGTAGTGCGGATTCCCAGGAACAGAGAGCTTATATTTACTCCAGAACCGCAGCCAGTCAGCTTCACTCTGGAAGTCATTATGTACAAAGGGAAGTCCGAAAAGGGGGTACTGGTACTTTTCAATAGGGCTGCCTGGTGGTGAATAATTCGGGTGTTTTGCAGGTCTCATGTACTTTTCTATGGGACTGCCTCTCTCAGAACTTCCTTTCCCTTCTGATACGGATGAACTATTTCCTGGGTCTCCAGTACTTTCCTGAGGACTTTTTATCTGAATGTGCAAAGGTTGCATCCTTTTGTGAATATCCAGAGTTTGGCTGACCAGTACTGGCTGCTGAGCAGAATGGCTTTTAGTCAATGAACCCTGGGCTTCGTATTTACTCAGGCTAGGAAGCGGAATTTCTCTCTGGTGACCTTCAGTTAAATGATCTTCTGACCTCCTCTCTAAGGGGCTTCCGTTGACCTGCTCCTCACTGCCACCCCTCTGCTGTTTGTTGAGCTGCTCAGCCTGAAGTGCCTCTGGGTTAAGGCGCTTTCTTGTCCTTCTCCTAATAATCTGCTCACCGTTGTTTTGTTTAATGATGTTTAAAGGCCTGGGAGTCTGCAGAGAAAACACACACACAATACATAAAAGGAAAAGGTTAAAAAAATACATTAAAATGCATTAACCATTCCTCACAAATATGAACCGCACTTAAGTTCAAAGCAAGAGTAGACTTTATGTTATAGATTTACTAAATCTTCTCCTTTTGCCCTAAGCGGGATCAGAGGGAGTAACCAAAGCACACTATTTTAGCCTAATTAAATCATGTCCAACTTCGCAGGGAGGACTGAAAACTTTAATCTACTTAAAAACAGCTTTTCCAAACTCCATAGATTTTGGAATTGCATCACTGAGTGATAAAACTGTGTAGAAAGTTACTTGAAGAAATGTGATTTTTATGAAATATTCCTCAACTTCTGAGTCATGCACTAAGATGTCAATACAGGAACATGGGAGATAGCCTTTATTGACAACTGTGGAAAAATTATACATTGCTACAGGCTGACATGGGTTCCCTCATTCGTATGTTAAAGCTCTACCCCACCATGTGCCTGTAGCTGGAGAGATGGTCTTTAGGAGGCAAATAAGGAAAGATGAGGACACAGAGAGAAGACGGCCTTCTGTAATCCAGGAAGAGAGCACTCCAAACAGGACCCAATCACACTGGTCCTCGGACCTCAGACCTCCAGCCTCCAGAACTGTGGGAAAATATATTCTGTTGTTCAAGTCATTCCACCTATGGTATTTTGTCATGGTAGCTTGAACTGACTAATATATGCATTCTTCTAAATAATTGCAAATGTGAATACAAAGCTATTAAATATCACAGCACAAATAATCAAAGACAAATGAGGAAAGACATCAGGTAATCAAAGCCATATCCGTGGGAGACTTTTTTTTTTTAACCTCTCACTTTTATTTCTCCTTGTTTAATAGTATTTTGTATATATAATCACTATGGAAGATTTTACTTGTTAATAGGTGGAGTGTTTGTTTTCTGGTAAAACTCTAAATTCTTTTGTAGCTTTGGTTCAAATACCTGATATGTCATTTTACTCTGTGCCTAAGCATAGATGAAAATTTAGGGAAATCTTTAAGTGGGCTTTATATATATATAAAACTATATATATATACATATATAAAATTTTTGAATTATTCCTAGAAAGAATGCACTTGAATGCAAGAGAGTATCTTTTACATCTTAAACAAAATCGAAATCTAAATCCTTTTTAGAATTTTTCTATTGTCACAGAGGCATTTTGAAGGCATGATAACACACTTGTTGCTGACAATTCAATTATTGGTTTCAGGATGAAAATTCTACATCCTTTAGATATACCATATTCATTTGTTCAGAATGTTTATGTTTCTAAAGAGCTCATACCTCTATTACCAAAATATGCAGCATTTAATCTATATCTTGTAAGGAAACCTGAAATTTACACGAATACCCTTTTAAAACCTTTGTAACTTCTATGACAGTCTTTGACATGAGATGTGACCATAACTTTTATGTACTTAAAATTATGATTTACAAAAACCTCAAAACTGAACACGTGTCCTTATAGAGATGAATATTAAAATAATTATAAAAAAGGGTTTACTTTATATCATAGTTGTTAAATTATCATAACCTGAAGAGCAGTAGTGTAATTAATTCTTGGCCTATGACTGGCCACAATTCAATTAAAATCATTAATGTCAGTACTCAAAAATGAAAGCTTATTGCTGTCTTTAAATGGTGAAGGCGAAGAAAAAGTAAGGCGATGTGGTGGTGGTGGAGAGAATCTTTGAGCTAGCTATACGTAATAACTAAGGTTTTACAGTTTACCACCAATTAGTATTGTTGGCAGCATGCGTTTTTTAAAGAGTGCTTCCAATGGTCCATTTATGAGGACGTTTTGTCTAAAACTGTATTCCCTGTAGCTGTAATTTATTCATTGGCTGTGCTAAGAGCTATGGTAAAATGCCAAACAAAATGAAAAAGGCAGAGGGAAATAGATTTCTGTTTACTAAGTGGGGTATTCCTATTTTTAAAGGCAGTTCTTGTCAGCATATAAACTTTCTCAACTAAAAAAAAATCCTTCGGGAAGTCACACGCATAGATAGATGGGGGAATTTGTACGTTTAAAGTTTATTACAGGATTCTAACTAAAATTTGAGAAGAAAGGACCGGAAGTACCTCGGGCGAGACACAGAAAGAAGCCAGCCAGAGATTTTAAAACACAAAGCATCTTCGCACCTTACTCTATCTGGGATGTGTGCCGTTGGACCCCTCAGACACCTCATTGGAAGAGGTCCATGGGAAGAAGGGAAGAGGTTTTACTTCACATTTGCAGCACCACTCTTCGGAATGTGCCTGACTTCCAGCCCCCAAAGCAGCCAATATGACACTTGCAAATTCTAAAGTTAAACTGAATATAAGCACTCTTTCTCTGGCCTATATTTTATATGAGTCCCCCCTTTTTAAAAAAAAAAAAAACTTACGTATTTTTGAACTTTTAAGGTTTCTCTTTTCTGCCTAACCTAATTTCACCAAAGTCTGATAACCACTAGTTCCACTATCTGTTACACAAAGTTCCCCAAAATCAATCATTTTCCTCTTCTATATCAAAAGAAGCTTAATGCATCGCTAATGATCTCAAATGTATCTGCCCATAACATCTAAGGCCATTTCACCATAAATCACATGTGTTCTCAAAGTGACTGTACTAAACTCTGCGGGAGCAGGTGTTGTGAGCCAGGGAATGGTACACATCACACCATAGACCAGGCTGCTTTATAAAGCTTTTCCTCAAATAGTCTAACAAGTTCTTACCGAGTGAAGCTTCTGGTAGAGGCCACACGCGTTGCATACATATCCACCATTTGCATTCTTTCGCCAGAGAGAGGTCTTCGTGGTCAAGCAATTGGCACAAAAAACACCCGAGCCTCTACGCCTCTGAAACGGGGGAAAAAAAACACAAGGTCAGAGGTGAGTCACATGATCAGTGGAGTTAGACCAAATCAACCCAGGAGTTTTGTCTTTAGACTAGCAACAATGACAGTATAAAACCACACTGCCCATAATGAGGTCAGGTTCAATTGTGTTTAATAGGCACCACTGATTTTCATTATAATTAACCCTACAGTGATGGATGAGGTGTGTGCAACACCAAAGGCTTTTCACAGAAACAGCTTTAACTTTTTGAACTTTGCGTTTTGTGCCTTTAATGATGGCTCCTAAATGCTGAACCCTAAAATATACCTTTTAAAAGTGTCAAAACAAAAGTCAAAAGACAGAACATGGCAATATGTTTAATATACTTTAGAAAGGGGGAGCACATGCTACCTGAGCTTTAACATACAGTCCGGCTTCCAAGAAATGTGGACCATTTAAAATGAAACCTGATTTGTGTTTTTTTGTATGTCATTCATGGAACGCGGGTATGAAGAGAATATACCACACTCAATTCCAGTTTTTGGTTTGCAATTGTAAACTTTGAAAGAGAACACCGTCCATCTCCCAAAGCTGAGGGGGCCAGTGTAAACGTATGCCAATGACAAGTGTGTTACTGAGAACCCTTATGAGGTGCCTGGTTCACCCAGACAACACAGTCCCATCAATGGCTATTTATTTTATTTGCCTCCGACTTGGAAATCACAAGCGTTTCCGAATACAAATTGATTTTAGTGGGCTGAATTCTGTAATCACCAGATTCAAAAATAATCTAAGAATATTTAAAAGTAGATAATTAGTATTGCTTGTTCCATTCTTGCCATCAAGTAATGATTCCATTAAACTCATTGAAACAAAAGTCAGGCTGTGTTTGTAGGTGCAAATGCGAACAGGCAGGAAATGAAATGCTCTTGTTATGAAAAAAGACAGCCTGAACTGTAACTTTGCTCTCCTTTCTCTAGGAAGCAAAGCCTTTTAATGATAAAATATTCATGTTAGATAAGGAGTGGAAAAAGTCTTGCTGGAACCCTATTTTATTATAAATTTAAAATTACAAATACCATAAGTCAAAATTTCAGGGATTCATAAAATTTAGGCAATTTATTTAACTTGAGTCCATACTGTAGATGAGCGGTATCCCTGCCAAGAAAATACAATGGTTATAATTGTACTCTGATACATTTCAAATGGAAAGCTTTCTGCAGACATAATTTTGGCTTCAAGACTGGAACACTTTCTTGGCATTGAAAGGGCATTTGATTCATCGGGTGTTTCACAATGTATCACTAAAAAGACCTGGTGAGCAGCCAGTTCCCTATAGGGTAATTTTTCCATCCAGATGCAAGTGCTATCAGAGGCCCTCGTCAGCTAAACTAATTATGATCTTGCAATTGCTGATGCCTGCTCACTCTAACATTCGACATCCTCCATTAATCATCAATACAAGGAAAATGAATGAAACGTAAAGAAATGAGGGCTGGTAAGCTGCACAGCCATAAAAATCTGAAATGAGAGCAATAATTTAACAAGATTGGGGGAATGTTTTTAGTGCGCACAAAGTCAGGCTAACAATTGCCCTTTTCAACCAAGAACACGATTTCATTAGTGTAGCAGGTTGTGCTACTTTAGGTGATGTAATAAAAGCTAGATTTTTCACAAAGATAATCTCTGGCTCCCCCTTTTCTCCCTCTTCGCCCAAGTCAGGACCAGGGTAATACATCACGGTTAGAGCGACAGCAAATGTTGGGTGTCAGTCCACAAGTCCCAGACGGGACCTACTGCAAAAGCAGAGACGGCTCCCTCCTGAAAACCAATGAACTATTAGATGCTATGTTTATCAAACATTCTGGGGCCCCTTTTATCTGAAGTAGGTTGGGGAGCCTAGTTAGGGTATAATTGTGAAACTTCCCTGGGGCCATGCCATCTTTTTCCTAGATCTAAATAACACGTTTGGCAAATAAACACCAACTTGATCCACATAAAGGCAATGTAAATGTCCATTTGGAAACTAACCCACATATATGGCTGAGGCTCAAATGTGAATGTGTAACCATTCACTCCAGCCTGCTTTTCTTTCCTTATGTCCTGGGTGCCTGACACAGCATGCCAAAGTGGGTGTAATCCTGGTTTCAGAGAGCGTTTCAATCCTTGCACAATTTTGTGCTTAATTCTCTTGCAAAGAAAATGCGCTTCATTAGTTAGAGGGAAAGTCCTAAAATTACAGCACTGGTTTCCGCAGGCATATCTTGCTTTAGGCAGCACTTATGCTCGACCAAAGAGGTATATTTTAGGAAAACTATACCTTATTTTAAAGACATCCGGGGTATTCTGGATTCATTTACCCAGAATCAGTACAGCATGGAGGTTAATCAAATTTTGGAGTCAGACTACTTGCATCCAAAATATGGTTCTGCCTTTTGCCAGGTGCAACTTTAGGCAAGTCACTTAGCCTCTCAAAGCTTCAGTTTCCCCATCTTTAAAGTGTGAGCTTCTCTAGGATGTGGGCAAATGGATGCAATTACAATGGTGCCAGGGATGTAGCAAATACTCAATAAGTTAGCTCTTTGCCAAACAGATTCAATTTTTTTTTTTGCAAGAGAAAAATACTTTTTTACTTTTGTTTGCATCTCCTTAATCTACTTATTGACCATTTAAGAGATGCTTAAGATCTCTGGTTGAATATTATCAAATGTATTTCATTTGTGTCAGTCTTATCAAATATGAGAATGGAAAGTTGAGTCAGAGTGAAATATCTAGGTGTTCACACCTAGAATTCAACAGGAGCATACTTGCGTGGGGGTGGAAAGTAGGAGTGAGGTGAGAAATATTTCACATATTAAGTTACCTCCCATCTACATAAATTTATCACTTTGGTAAGCACTATGCAACTTTATTTTTGGTGCACTTGGAGTTTCTGGAAGCAACAGAGATTGTGGGATAAGTGGACAGTATCCTTAGCTGTGTAACCACAGCTGTCACTGTTTCACCTCTCTCTGAACTAGAACTTAGCTGAGAGCCCTGAGGTGGCCACTCTGTGTGTAATGTAACCTGGGTGGGCACAATAGAGCATCTTTTTCAGGTTATCAAATCCTTAGCCCAACCAAGTGTAGCGAAGCAGTCTGCTGCCAAAGGAAGGCAGAATAGAAGTCGCTCTTGCCCCACTTCTTAGGAACAAGCTTGGCCTTGTTAAAGGGAAAGAAAAGCACTGAGGACTTTATTTCATTCAAAGTTTATCATGCATGACAGAGTTTTAAAATATTTTTCCATTTTCCTTTATACTATGTTTGTTAAGGACAGAAGTCACGGCTCTTAACAGTCATCAAATATTCTAAGTAATAAGCACCTAGGACAGTGCTCTGTCTGGAGAGGCTCAAAATTAATAAGTTGAAAATAATCTACTGGAACTAAAAGAAGAGGAGAGAGCAGAGGGGAGGGGAGGAGAGGACAGGAAGAAAAAGAAAGAGAAAGGGAGAGAAATGAATCTTACCTCCTATTATATTTTTTATCATTATTGGTCACTCCTACTTTGAAAAAAATGTTTAAAAAGTATTTCTTTTATACGTCTCCCATTTGAATTGACAAATTAACCTTCAGTTGGGCAGAGATGACTAATGTTATAGAAAAGAAAATCAAGAGAATTAATTTTCCAATCCTAAATTTCACACTTATTTTTGAGGAACAGTCAAAACCAGGTACTTGCGAGGTCCTAAGGATACAAAATCAGGTAGAACAAGGCTCCAATTCTCCTTTATATACATCATGATGGTCATATGTAGCTGATGGCTCTGTATGTGCATGTGTGTGTGTAAATAGTAAGATTACTTCTCCTTTTCTACAAGCTGTTTTTAGAAATCAATAATAAAACTTATACTTCCATGACATTATTCAACAGAGAGGAGAATCAAGCCACACAAGGTCACTTCTGGATAAGACATGAGAAGAATCCATAGCTAGGGTATGATAGCAGTGGTGTAGCCGAGGGATGTATTTAGCAAGATTCTTCCCCTGCTCTCAGGGCAAGGGGAAGCTGCACTTTTGTGTATACTGAAAGTCACAGGAGCCACACATTCTCTGCCCTTGGCCTTCTCTAAGTGCCTCTTCTACTTCTTTGTGGGCTTAACTGAAGGATAGAGTGAAGGAAAGTGGGCCCCAAACCCAAATCAATAAGAGTGTCACTTCAAATGAGAATTTCTAAAGAGAAAATTCTGGAATCAACAATCTGAGGAACTGACTTTTTTCTAAACTTCAAGTTTTATAGTTTGCCTGTAACTTTTTGATCACATTAGTGTGCCCTATATATAATTTTTGTTGGTGAATAGTTTCCTGTGTGAAAAAGGAAAGATAGTGACAGAAACAGTTAATTCTAAGGACTTTTGAGGCCAGCTCAATGACTGGCCTAGCAAATGCTTTTCAGTGATAATTACTGAGAATTCTTTGGGATCACTTGTTTCAATGTATTATGACCACAGTACTGACTTTCACAATAGCAATTTAGATGATGACTTTGGACAATCATTCATGTTAGGATTTGAAATGAAAATGACACACCCGTCTTTTAATATAAGTACACTTTAAATCCAACATAATTATTTTTCTTGCTTTGAAGTGCACCAAGAAGTATAAAGGAGAAAATAACTAATCAAACAAACAAACAAGTTTAATTTAGGTTCATAGTTAATCATTGTGTGGTATCACCATCATTAAATTTTTCTGAAAGCTTCTGATTCAAGTTTTGCTTCTGAGGGTCTTAATTCTTTAGTCAGTGATATATCAGTGGGTTGAAAGTTGGCACAAGGGTTGGTTACTAAGCCCCGATGTGACTTAAGAAAAAAATGAAAAGTTTTAAATTGGTTTAGCTGTTTTAATTGCTTATATTATTATTTGAAAATCAGCCCAAAACAAACATCTTAAGGTTTTCAAATTTCATTAACAAAGAATTGATTTCATCTGATTAATAAGAAATATATTTGATTGAATTGTTCATTCAAGTGGCTTAATATACA